CTGTCCTATAACTCGCTTTCTATTATATCCTGCCTCTTTTATTTTTCAGTATGACTTATCTCCATCACTGCAAGCCTGAACACATGAATGATGAAAATCAATTCAAAATGAGGACATCAGACATTATTCATCACAGGGAAAATGCAAATATTTCGAAAAGATTTGAGATACTGGAAACTTCATACTCTGTGAAAATTTCTTCCATTCTCATATAAAACATTTGAAAATTGTAGATTTATATCTTATAACACAGAAAATTCCTTCATTATGTAGTCTTCCTTGTGGCTAGTAGAGGAGTCAAACCATCATAACACAGGGATACTTAATGTTCATTTCAGAGTCTGTTGACATTTAAGGATGAGGGCATCATTTTCTCCAAGGAGGAATGGGAATTATTTCATACTTCATGATTGGATTTATACAGAGATACCTGGTTTCTGTAGGGGAGAATAAATTCCTTCATGTTTCCAACATAACCCTTGGAAGGTATCACAAATTGCATTCATATTTTGAATTGTTTTCAATAAATGAATCCAGCAGACAATTATTCCTATATATTTATATGTTAAAATTAATTCATATTGTCTTATATTTTATTTCATTCTAAATGATCTTTTGAATTTAGCCTAACATTATATTCAATCCCTTTTGGAATTTGTTTTGTTGTGACTCAAGAGAAAGAATGTGTGGATGTAGTTTGATTTCATCTGTTTTATTTATATAATGTTGTAATTGAGAGAATTTGTAGCTAAATAAATTGAAAGTATTCATTTCTTCTAAGAATACAATGCCTGTCAAGGATGAACTAGTAATTCTTCACTACTATGATTTTCCTTATATTTTTGTTGTTGTTTTTATACACAAAATATAAACATGTGTTAGAAACCAACTCTTTTACATCATGTAAAGAAATTATCATATGTCTCTTTTCATTCATAAGAATTTCTGTATTAAACCAGTGCTAGTCATCACACTATAGATTTTGAACATAGAGGTATCAGAAGGCATAGAACACAATAAGTTGGAAAGAAACAATAATCCATGTGTGGAGTACAAAGTGAGAATTAAAAAATATCTGCATTCAGATTATCTTATATCCTCACTTGAAGTGATGCCTAAAAATTGCTGTTATAATTGTGTATAAGACTTAGAGAAGTATCTCAGCTCTAGAATGTCTCCTTGTTAATTGTGAATTTCAGTGTTTTGTGACTGGTGTCTGGGCCAAGAAGTGGGATCTATCACCCATGTGTTCAATGGTACATCCGTCACTTGCTTTAAAAAATTCAGTGTTACTGGATGCATGCCGAGTTCTTTGATGCAATTAGACATGATTTGAACATGGTTGTACATATGAATCTATTTGAAATTTTCTACATGTCAGTATCCAGTTATACTATCACTATTTCTTGAAGATTCTTTCTTTTTTCCACTGTATTCTTTTAACATCTTTGTCAAAATCAATTATTCATTGGTATGTTTATTATCATTAGTGTTTTTATTTAATTCTTTTGGCTTAGTTCTCCAAAACCTCCACATTCAGCTTTGAGAGTGACGGTTGTTATAAATAAACCTATGTATATAAAAAAAAACTTTAATATAATGCAATGTTTATAAAGCAGAATAATAATAGCTTTTTATTTATCTGCCTATGTTCTATTTAATCTCAGTTTCTTTCTTAGCTACAATCATAGTGTCATGTGTGGGTAACAACAGTGGTCTTGACTTTACCACAATTAAATACTGTTCAATGTGTTAGGTATTACCAACACATATATGTCACATTTACAAGTGTCTTTCAGTTTATTAACAAAATAGTGCCAGATGGTGTATATGTAGGAAAAATTGACTACTTTCTCCTCATGTAGACTTGAAATAGAGGCTTGAATACAAGTTTGATGTCTACACATTCAATGTTTAATTATGTTGTTCTTCACATTGGATTCTTGATGGTAACTAATTATTATGCCAAGTGCTTGGCTGTAGATATCTGTATCTACTTCATCAATGATTTGATACAGGTATTTTTTCTACAATTAGGGTAGTCAACACCTAATTACAAGACATGGCCAGTTTAGGCATGAACTACACTTTCTGCAAGAGTCTTAAGTAAAATCACCCTTATACACTAGTTACCATTGTTTTACTTTACAACTAATATCCCTTTATAAGTGAATATATGTCATGATCTACTCTCTGTTTCTTCTATAAATCTCTCAGCAGGGTCTTCTCTTTTATTTTTTATTTTTACTTTCTATATAGAACCTAATTTCCTCCCCCTCCCTTCTTCTAATACATGCTCCCTCCCTCCCTCTTTTCCATTTTTCCACCCTCCTATGCTCCCCTGACCAGCATCTCCTCCTATCCCCCCACTCCACATGTAGGGTGATGCCTTGAAGAAGGGTCATCTAAATCTCTCCAGTCATTTGGAGTAGGTACTAGGCGTTCTCTCCTGCCTGTAGATAAAGGGAGTATCCCTCCATGTGGAATGTGCTCCCAAAGAAGGAGTGCCTTTTCTAGTTCTATTTGGCTGCACATTTCATGATGTCATTGTTTTGCCACATGTGGGGTTACTTAATACTTTTCCCATTTTGTACACTCTCTATATATTATATTCACAATGTTCACAGCCTTAAAGAAGCTCCTATGTTTTAGGAGGTTACATTTGTTGACTATTGCTTTCAGTGTCTGTACTATTGATGTTATAAATAGGAACTGTTTTTTTTGTTTTGTTTTTTTTTTTTTTTTTTTTTTTTTTTTTTTTTTTGTGCCAATGTGTTCAAAGCAATTTACGATTTTCTTTACTATGATATTCAGTACGTCTGGATTTTAACATAGGTCTCTCATTCATTTGAATTACAGTTTTGTGTATAGAAATAGATAGAAATCTATGTGTCTTTTCATTTCTTGTGTACCAAGGTAATTGTAGCCTCATAAAAAGTGTTTGATAATGAACATTCTGTTTCTTTTATGTAGAACAACTTGAGGAGTATTGGTATTAGCTCGTCTGTTAAAATTCTGCACTGAAGCCATCTGGCTCTGTGCTTTTTTTGTTATGAGTCTTTTGATGACTGCTTCTATTTCATTGTGGGTTACAGGTCTATTGAAGTTACTTATCTGTACTCAAATTAACTTTGTTAGTTATAGTTATCCAGAAATATGTCAATTTTCTTATTATTTTTGAATTTTGTGGAGTACATGTTTTCAAAATCTGAACTGAAAATTCTCTGGAGTTCCTTAGTGTCAATTATTATGAACCCCTTTTCATTTCTGATTTTGTTAGTCAAATCTGTCAAAGACTTACAGAATATGGCATTTACAATGGTTAATATTTTTCATAACAGTGAGACTGAACTGCTCAGAAAGGAAGATGGATCCCCAAGAATATTGTTATTGAGTTTGCCATGAACATGGCAGGAATAGACATTTGGATAAGAAAATGTTCTTGCCTATTCTGGTTGACTGTATATTTATGAACTGAAAATGCAGTCATCAGAGGAAAGTGACTGCTGAAACATTATTAGGCATTGTTGCAAGGTACCAGCTTTATGGACAAGTGTGTCAGACATTATGTAGGAAATGGAAATTTGAAGAACATTCTGTCAAAAAAGATGGACACCTTCAAATTTCCTGATTTGCTGAGAAGTCAACTAGACACAGTAGGCCTTTAGGCTGAAAATGGATGCCCCAAAATTACAAGAAAGAAAAAAAAAACATTTTGTTACCAATCTAGACAGCAAGATGTCTCCATCAGTTCTATAGTTTATCAGTTACCATTCTGTTTTATTTGATGGAGTTCAAGACAGATTATTATGATTATAATTTTCTTAGTTATGAAAAACTTTATGTATAAGACTGTACAATTACAAAGATAAGATCAATGATAGAATATTTTCTTAAATCTTGACAAATGAACTAAATATTCTAACCACAGTTCTTACATGATAAGTGTTGTGTTACATAAAATTTGACTACGTTAATGGGATAAACATTCATTTTATTAAGACAAAAATGAGAACATGATGGAGAAGACTTCTGTAATATATTTTTATTATTTGTTGTTTAAATAACAATGGGGAATGTAGAAGCATATAAGAAGATTCTGGGAGTTTTATGGAGATAGCAGTTGGCATGTAGGACACCATAGGAATAGAAGGAAACTGGATCTCTCTCCAGTAAGAAAAAAATGTGTAAATGCAAATATTAATATATTAGATTAGTAATTAAGAAAGAGCTTGCCAATGAGAAGCCATAGTCATTGTCCAATACTATTATAATTAATATAAATATCTGAATAGTCATTAGGGTCATGGTTGCTGTGGAACACAAACCAAAGAATGCGCATGAAAGTACAAGAAGTATACCGAACACCAAAAAGGTTGGACCAAATAAAATAGACCCCTCAACATATAATAATCAGAGCACATAGTATGCAGAATTAAGAAAGAATATTAAGATAAGCGAAGGAAAAGGACAGGTAAATATAAAGGCAGACATATCCAAATTAGACCTCAATTATCCATGCAAGCACTCATGGCTAGATGGTCTTGGGTAGATATTCTACAAGTACTTAGATAGGAATAATACCAGCCCGGGCTACTATAACCAGCAAAACTCTCAATCACTATAGTTGGAGAAAACAATATATTTAATGAAGAAGCCAGATTTTCCCAATACTTATCTACAAATTCAGCCCTACCGAAAGTATTGAAAGGTAAACTCCAACCCAAGGAAGTTAATTATGCCCACAAAGATGTAAGCAACAGATAATCTAACTAAACAAGAAACCAAGGGTAAAACAGGACATATACATTCACAATTCTACTGACAACAATAAACCTAAAACAAACAAGCATCAACAATCAATGGTCCTAATTCAAACTCAACTATAATGGTCTTGACTCAACTATAAAAAACACAGGATAGTAGAATGGATAAAAAGACAGAGCCCATACTTCTGATGCATATGAGAAACACATCTAAGCTTGAAAATAGGCATTGCTGTGCTAGCCTCAGCAGCAAATAAACTAAAATTGGAACGATACAGATAGGATTAGCATGGCACCTGCACACGGGAAAAACACAAATTCGTAAAGTGTTCCATATTATTTTTACTCCAACTACACCAGAATCCAAGGGTAAAGCAGAACTGATATATTTAAAAAGACATAGGCTCATTGACCCCTATATCCGGGCCTCTGCTAAAGAAAGAAGCCATAGCTGGAAAGTTCCATTTTCCAGTGAGATCCGACTATCCTGCAAAACATTCCCAAGTTTCAGCTCAGCCCTTGTCCTCTTCTGCCAGCTATTGGCCAGAGGTTAGTCTGGGCCCAATTGGGGCTTCCTCTCCCCTATAACCTCTTCCCTCCCAACTCCCTGGGTTGGCCACTGATCCTGCTGCCCCTCTCTGCTGTCCCCATGGAGAGCACCCTTGGAGATCTGATACACCCCCACCCATCCCCACCACGAGCCTGCACCCACTAGCCTGTGCGGGTATGTTGCTCTGGTTGAGCACTGGGACAGAGGGTGGAGCCAACAGTTCACCCTACTTGGTAGACTTCTCGATAAAGCTCTGAAATGAGGAGACATACCTATCCACGCGGGAAAACCCATAATTTCCACCTGCTCAGTCTCTGACCCCCACCTCCAATCCACTGCTGGAGTCCCGGGGCCTTGCAGAGATCCACCTATCTATGCGGGACAACTGCCCCAGATTCATAAAAGAAACAATACTAAAACTCAAAACTCACATAAAACCTCACACACTTATAGTGGGAGAATTCAATACACAACTCTCAACACAAGAAAGGACCACAAATCAGAAACACAACAAAAAAACAACGAAAAACAAAAGAAGTAACAGAAGTTATGTCTCAACTGGGGTTAACAGACATCTATAGAACATTCCATCCAAAGACAAAAGAATATACCTTCTTCTTTGTTCCACATGGAACCTTCTATAAAATCAACCACATACTAGGTGGTATAACAAACCTCAACAAATACAAGAGAATAGGAATAGTCCCCTTTATCTTATCGGACCACCATGCTTTAAAATTGGAATTCAACAACAACACAAATAGCAGAAAACCTGCAATATCATGGAAATTGAACAACATGCAATTGCACCACTCCTGGGTCAAAGACGAAATAAATAAAGATATTAAAGACTTCCTAATATACAACGAGAATGAGGATACAATGTACCCGAACTTATGGGACACCTTGAAAGCAGTGCTACTAGGGAAGTTCATTGCACTAAGTGCCCATATGAAGAAAACAGAGGATAGTCACATAAGAGAATTAAGAGCACAAATGAAAGCCTTAGAACACAGAGAAGCAAATTCACTACATAGGGGTAGACGCCGGGAAATAATCAACGTGAGGGCTGAAATCAACAAAATAGAAACCAGGAAAACAATATAAAAAAATCAATGCAATGAAGAGTTTTTTTTTTTTTTTTTTTTTTTTGTGAAAATCAAGAAGATAGACAAACCTTTATCCAAATTAACAAAAAAGCAGAGAGAGAACATGCAAATAAACAAAATCAGAAATGAAAAGGAGCACATAACAACAGACACAGAGGAAATCAAGAAAATTTTTAGGTAGTATTTGAAATTCTGTATTCCACAAAAATTGAAAATTCAAAGTAAATGGACAAATTTCTAGATAACTATCACTTACCAAAATTAAATGAAGAACAGACAAACAACTTAAATAGACCTATAACCCACAATGAAATAGAAGCAGTCATCGAAAGCCTTCCAACAAAAATTTCCAGGGACAGATGGCTTCAATGCAGAATTCTCCAAAACATTCAAGGAAGACCTAATACCACTACTCCTCAAAATGTTCCACAAGATAGGAAGAGAAGGTTCATTGCCAAACTCATTTAATGAGGCCACAATAATTTTGGTACCCAACCCTGACAAAGACACAATCGAAGAAAGAAAACTACAGACCAATATCCCTGATGAACATCGATGCAAAAATATTCAATAATATACTGGCAAACGGAAATCAAAGAATACATCATTGAAATCATACACCATGACCAAGTAGGCTTCATCCCTGTAATGCAGGGATGGTTTAACATACAAAAATCTATCAAATCGATCCCCCATATAAACAAACAGAAAAAGAAAAACCATATGATTATCTCCCTAAATGCGGAAAAAGCCTACAACAAAATTCACCACCCTTTCATGATAAACGTCTTGGAGAGGTCAGAGATAACAGGACCATACCTGAACATAATAAGAGCAATATACAGCAAACCAACTGCCAATGTCAAACTGAATGGAGAGAAATTTAAGCCAATTCCTCTAAAATCAGGAACAAGACAAGGCTGCCCTCTCTCTTCATATCACTTCAATATCGTACTAGAAGACCTAGCTAATGATATAAGACAACAAAAGGAGATCAAGGGGATCCAAATTGGAAAGGAAGAAGTCAAACTGTCTCTCTTTACAAATGATATGATAGTTTACATACGCGACCCAATAAACTCTACCAGGGAACTCGTACAGCTGATAAACACCTTCAGCAATATAGCAGTATACAAGATAAACTCAAAAAAGAAATTTGTGGCCCTACTTTTTTCAGACGACAAAGGGACAGAGAAAGAAATCAGAGAAACATCACCCTTTATAATAGCCACAAACATCAAAAAGTATCTTGGTGTAATGTACACCAAACAAGTAAAGGACCTAAATAATAAGAACTTTGTGGCTCTAAAGAAAGAAATTAAAGAAGATACCAGAAAATGGAAAGAAGATCTGCCATGCTCTTGGATAGGTAGGATAAACATTCTAAAAATTTCAACCTTGCTAAAAGCAATCTACACATTCAATACAATCCCCATTAAAATCCCACCACAATAATTCACCGACCTTCAAAGGATAATAATCAACTTAATATGGAAAAACAAAAGATAGCCAAAACAACCCTATACAATAAAAGAACTTCAGGAGGCATCACCATTACAGACTATAAGTTCAGCTAGGGAGCTATAGTTCAGAAAAATGTCTGGTATTAGCATAAACATACACAGGTAGACCAATGGAATCAAATTGATAATCATGATATTAACCCACACACCTATGAACACCTGATTTTTGACAAAAAAGAAAAAAATTATACAATGGGGCAAAGACAGCATCTTCAACAAATGGTACTGGCACAATTGGAAGAGGGTGTGTAGAAGACTGCAAAAAACCCCATGTCTGTCGCCTCAAGTACAAATGGATCAAAGACCTCAACCTCAATCCAGCCATATTGAACCTCTTAGAAGAGAAAGTAGGATGTACCCTTGAACAAATTTGTATAGGAGACTGCTTCCTGAATATAAATCTAGGGGCACAGACACTGAGAGAAACAATTAATAAATTGGACCTCTTCAAACATAGAAGCAAAGGAAACAGTGGAGAAGACCAAATGGCAGCCCACAGACAGGGAAAATATTCTCACCAATCCTATATCCAACAAAGGGCTGATTTACAAAATATACTAAGAACTCAAGAAACTAGTCAACAAAACACCAAAAAACCTTTTTAAAAAATGGGGTGCAGAACTGAAGAGAATTATAAATAGAGGGAAAAAAAAGGCTGAAAGACACTTAAGAAAATGCTCCAGATCCTTAGCTATCAGGGAAATGCAAATCAAAACATCTTTGAGATACCATCTTATTCCTGCCAGAATGGCTAAAATTAGAAACACCTTTGATGATACATGTTGGAGAGCTATGGAGAAAGGGGAACACACCTCCACTGCTAGTGGGAGTGCAAACTCGTACAGCCATTTTGGAGGTCAGTATGGCTCTTCCTCAGAAAAATGTGAATTACTTTACCACAGGACCCAGCAGTCCCCCAATTGGGCATAAACCCAAAGGATTCTCATCCATGCAACAAAGACATGTGTTCAACTATGTTCATTGCAGCACTATTTGTAATTGCAAGAACCTGGAGGAAACCTAGATGCTCCTCAATTGAAGAATGGTTAATGAAGATGTTGCTGATCTACACAGTGGAATACTACTCTGCAGAAAAAAATTATATCTTGACATTCGCAGGCAAGTGGATGGCACTTGATGAAACCATCCTGAATGAGGTAACCCAGTCACAAAAAGAGGAACACAGTATTTACTCACTCATATATGGATTTTAGACCTAGATCAATTGATCACCAGCCTATAATAATTCACACCACCAGATGAACTAGGATACAATGTGTATTATAAGAGAATCATATAAAGTCCCTCACATAACCGGGAAGGGACAAGTCCCCCAGAGCTCAGGGGAAGTAGGGGTGGGGAGCTAATGGTGAGCGAAGTAGGAGGCAATGAGGGGGGATGAAAGGAAAACATGTGCAACCTGGTAGATTGAGCCTGGTTAGGAAAAGAAGACAGGAAAGAGAAAGAGAGACAGAGAGAGAGAGAGAGATAGAGAACATAAAAGAGGGAGCCAATATTTGTTTGAAGATAAAATTGAACACAAAGAAATGTCTACAGAACTACAAGATTGCTGCCAAATAACAATCTGAACTTCTATGGAAAGGCTACCATAAATGCCCTTCCTGGAGAGTGAGATGAACAACTAATTTATCCATGGAGCCCTCAACTAATGCCTGTTGGAAACAGGAGCAAACATCCATGCATAAACATGGAGTCGAAGTAGAATAAAGATGCATATGGAGAGGACAAGAACAGGCAGCAGAAACACATAAAGACAGCTTACCTGAACAAAGAGGAACTAAAGGGCCACCAGATTGATGGTTGGGAAGCCAGCATAGGACTGACTCAGGCCCCCCTGAATATGGGTCTCAGCCAGAGGGACCGGGCAGTCAAGGGGACCTTAGGCGGTGGAGCCAGATTGTATCCCTGGTGCACAGGGGGGACTTCGCGAGCGCAGTCCCCCATGGAAGGATAACTGCCTTGATCTGGAGGCAGGAGAGAAGCCCTGGTCCCTGCTTCCCGTGACATGTTGGACCTGCTGGCCCAAGCTGGTTGGTGTTCCTCTACATGTGGAGTTGAGCTGGGGGTATGGGGGATGGTTAGGGTGCATGTAGAGGGCAGAAGGGGAAGCCTTAGTCCCTACTTCACATGAACTATCA